CACTCACGATTTTTTCGGCTAGTCGCGACTGATCGAACTTGGCCAAAGTGTCCAACCACTCCTGGATGGGGTTTCAGGTTTCGGGCTTGGGGCTCGGGGTTTAGGGTTTAGGGCCTTTTGGTTTGGGTTTAGGGTTCTAACACGTTGGTCCTTCTTGCGGTGGGGATCATCACTCCACTTGCTGCGTAGCGACCCTGGCAGCGAGAGAGCCTTGCCACCGTTCTCCCCGGTCATCATGCTTGCGTAATGGAACGTAGGCTCCACTGCCGAGCCCCCGCTTGAATCTGGGACGAATGGCTCTGGATCATAGGCAGCAGCTCCCACGAGGTTCCGGCCGCTCTTCCAATCCTTGAGGGGCCACGGTTTAGGTTTAGGGTTCAGGGTTTAGGCTATCGTTGCATTGGATTCAGGTTCGTACCTCCAGGAGGTACTGGGCCACCATTCGCTCGCTGTACTTTACCACCGTCACATCTTCCCCGAGGGAGAACGTAGGCATCCTTGGTTTTGATCCAGAGAATCAGGTTTAGGGATACAGCTGGGCTATAGGGTACAAGGATAAATTAGAAGCTTTTGTTTATTCCAATCAGAAAAGTTTCCTGGGTCCATTCCGCAGAGGGGATTGCAAGCAGGCCTTCTCGAAGGCCCCATCATAAGGAGTCAGATTGACACAACAGACCCGGCTGGTGGCTGTGATGCCCGCTGCATCCTGCAATGTATTCGCTCTAGAATTCGTTTAGCCCACATTAAAACTTCGTTCGACCTAATCAGCAGAACTGTCGTCATCATTATCCAAATCGAAACAACGAGATTGTCCTTCAGCAGAGAAGTCAAGACAGTGGCCGGCATGTGGGTACCGCCCAGGCGTTGCGCTGCCTCCTGGACCTCGCTGAAAGACCTGATTCCCAGGCAGCGTGGGGTTTGGGGGTTCGAAACCTCTTAAACCCAAAACCCTTGGTGCCTGTCTAGATCCTCCCTCGTGGATGGGGTGGCATTCTTTGCCCGCGTGGGACACTTGTAGTCCCGTTCGGAGATCCACTCGATGGGCTCTCGGTTGCACCTTAGGGCTTAGGGCTTGGGGTAAGACTTTGGCTTCTAACTTAGGGCTTAAGGTCTAGGTGGGTTTGGGTTCTAGAAAACATTTGGGATGATTGCAATGATGGCACTTATCAATCACTAGCTTGCACTCAGCGAAGACGTGCTCGGAGACACCATCCGGCCAACAGACAAGGCCTGGGTAGAGGAGGGCCTGCTTCTTGTTGAAGTGAGGCTCGTCCATCCGGATGTTGATTACACTGTTGAACAAGAACTTAGCATCCAGTTTGTCTTCCAGTCGCCGGACCTTCATATTGGGTAGCGGACTTAATCAAGGTACCCTATAAACCTAAAACATCACACCCTTTAACATAAACCGCTGCATTGGATACTCTCGCACCGACAAGCCAAGTACATCCGTAACCCAAATGCCTTAAACCCGTAGCTTAAGCCCCTGTGGCCTCGCCGCGGATCCCGGCTGCCACCCGATCTGATGGAAGCACTGGCACTACGATCACTCCGATCATTTTCTGGGGGTTGTGCTGCAGAAGGTTGCGGATCGCTTCCGTAATGTTGTCAAAGTCATCTTTCTGTAGCCGGCCAAACTTGGTTAGGTCTGCCCAGATGATGGCCGCATCCGGTCGCAAGCTGTTCATCCACTTAGTGAGAGTCAGGGAGTGAAAGGGTGATTCGTTCAGCAGTTCAGCATGGATGACACAACTGATAAAGCCCCTCTCCAGCCTTCTTGATACCTTCGAGCACATCCGTGTCTTTGTAGAGGCCGTGCTCATGCTTGCTGTTCACATCCATGAACTCAATGACGAGGCTGCTGCCCCGCTTGTTCTCAGCTCGAAGATGACACACTTTTGCCATCTGTTTGGCCCGGCCACACTTCTGCAACTCTGCCAGGTGCGCAATGAAGGAGGCTAGGTCCAAACTGACCTTGTAGGTGTCGCTTTCGAACTGCTTCTGGATGCTCTCGTTGTCAAGCTTGGTCACCTCCTCCAATCCCTTCTTGATCAAGCTCTCTGCGGAAGCAGTCCCAAGGTGGTCCGACCACAGGTTCAAGTCCTGAGGCTTGATGTCCGGAAGCTTGAGAAGGCAGAACTTATCGGCCTCCGAATTGTAATCCCTGAGGAATTGCAAAGGATCTTTTGATCACGACGACATATCACTAAGCTCTCTAATGCAAACGAAACACCCCTCCAACACCTTCTGCGTAGCAGCTCTCATGCTGTCGCCCGAAAACAACACATCTGCGCCGTCGTCCGTTCTGGCCTTGGCCATAGCCTCCAATGCCCACATCATCAGGCAACTGGAGTCCACCAAAGCCTCCCAAGCCTCTGGCGACAGTCTCGCGGTTGTCGCCGTCCGGACCTGCTTCCTTTTGATCTGAAAGGCAAAATGGAGTCGCTGAATGAAGAAGGTCTGCTTCGGGCGAGTGACAGCCATGATATCCTTCCAAATGCCATCGGCTTGCGAGTACTTGCCGGTGCTGCCAAGGTGCCACCGTGGGTTCTTGACATTCTCCAAAGTGTAAGCACACTCACTCCAAATGTGTGTTTGGAGATGTCTCGACATGAGCGTGCGAACCTCTTCACCGACACTCTCGATGAGAACCTTGATGGAATGACCAAACCAGAGAATCTTTCCGAATCATCGGTATGATAGTAATAGTAGTAAGTACCAGTAGTAGCAGTAAGCAGTAGAAATAGAAGTGGAGAGTCTGTAGTCGTAGTAGTATTATTAGTCCTAGTACTAGTGCTGGTGCTAGTGCTACCAGTAGTAGTAGTAGTAGTAGTAGTAGTAGTAGTAGTAGTAGTAGTAGTAGTAGTAGTAGTAGTAGTAGTAGTAGTAGTAGTAGTAGTAGTAGTGGTAGTGGTAGTGGTAGTGGTAGTGGTAGTGGTAGTGGTAGTGGTAGTGGTAGTGGTAGTGGTAGGGGTAGTGGTAGTGGTAGTGGTAGTGGTAGTGGTAGTAGTAGTAGTAGTAGTAGTAGTAGTAGTAGTAGTAGTAGTAGTAGTAGTAGTATTAGTAGCAGTAGTAGTAGTAGTAGTAGTAGCAGTAGTAGTAGATAGTAGTTGTTGTTGTAGCAGCTGTTGGTGATACCATTTGTCGTCGTAGTAGCAGCAGCGGCAGCAGTAATTTTTTCGTCGTCGTAACCGAAGCTCCACACGAAAGCCCCAACCCCAGCTCGCTCAAGTCCCCCCGGCAAAGTTTAAGCTAGGCTACTTTCATGGCCGTGCAGTCCTTCTCAGGCAGCTTGTAGTTCTCGGATGACTCTGCCAGCCCGAAGCAATTATACTCGCGGAAGGCCACGTCCATTGCCTCGGACTTCTCCTTGTAAAGCTCGGGGTGATCCTGGGCGTGGCTGTGGCTCAGCGATTGGTTTGGACTCGGGTTTGATTTTCGGGAATTTATTGGAGCTCCTAAGGTAACATATAAATTTGGCGGGCTGTGCAGCTCTGTATCATTCATAATTTCAGAAGCTCGCTGGTGGAATCTCAGGGCCATCTGCAGAATGTTCTTCTTCTGGCGCTCTGCAGCCTGCTGGCTGAGCTGCATGTTCCGGTAGGAGTACTCATGCAGCTGCCGTTGGGTGTAGATGACTTTGAGTCTCATCACTGAGTCCAGCCACCTGTGGGTTCATCTAGGACTACGTGCTGCTGACTACTGACTTAAATCTATTCTCTGCTCAGGCTGGGGTTTTGGGAGAGAACTGATCTGAGATTTTAACTCAACTGGGGTCATCATGGGTCTGGTTTAATATTTCAGAAGGACGATTCTTAGCAAGGCCGTTGGGTTATTATGCGGTCTGCGGTGTAAGGCTTCGGATTTAGGGTGAAAGAGTAATGAAAGGGAAAGAGAATCATAGAGTAAGTGTAACTGTAGTAGTCGGAAAATAAATAATTAATAATAGTTTTGGGCCTGTTCTCTTTTGGGTGTTCATGAAGGCTCCGGGTTGGGGGCTCGGGGGCCGGGGCTGGGGGCTGGGGGCTGGCTGGGTCGGGGGGGCTGGGGGGGCTGGGTGGGGGGGGTCTGGGGCTGGGGGCTGGGGGGGGGGCTTGGGCTGGGGCGTGCCGCGCGGATTGGGGAGTCGACGGGGTTCCGGTCGCGCGGATTGGGGAATCAAACCACATCGATGAAGCGATTGCCCCGGAAGCTTCCGGCATCGACGTGGTTTTGCCGAAACCACAGATACTGGCCTATTGAAACCACCGACCCAATCGATGATCCAATCGCTGCAGACCAAGCCCCGCGATAACCCTAGTCAAGTTGGTGCTCCCGGAACAATAGGGCAATCGACGTACTTTTGCCAAAACCAAGTCGATGAGCAACCCTTTCCAAAAGGTCTCGGCATCGATGGGGTTTGATTGGAAAATAGCAAAGTTTAAAGTTATAAACCCACAACGGTAACTAACAATAAGCCTCATCATTATGCATAATGATGTCAACAACACATCGTACGAGTATAGCAACAACAGCAAGGTGCATAGTCATTAATGTTAACAACACATCGTACGATGTAAGAACATAATAGTAAGAGCAGCAAGTCAGCAAGGTGCATAACTATTATATTAAATAATGTCAACGACACATCGTGCGATGTACGAATATAATATAGTAAGAACAGCAAGGAGCGTAACAGTTTAGAGAAAATAACGACAAGAAGTAGTAACAACAACCTAGCTCGTACCAAGAGAAGACTGCTTCGAGGTCTGCATACCTGCAAGTTTCCGTTCGACCGCTGCGACATTTATGGATTCTGCTTGGAGCCTCGGAATGATGTTAAGCTTGAACTGGGTGTGTATACAATGATAGTCACTAAGAGTTAAACCTTTGGGATCGTTTGGGGGCAAGCTACGAAGATTCAATGCTAGCAGGAAGATCACGTGACTGCGAGATCATGGGTGCCTTGAGCCATTCGTACATTGTTCGGGTTTGTTTCGACCATCGTAGCTTATCGAGTGTCAAAGGGCCCACCTTGTGAAGTCCTCCCGCTCCTTCTGGCTGAAGGAAGCTTGATCTTCCACCATCAGCATGTGGCATATTGCGTATGCAATTATGCTACAACGTGTGTAGCCTCTGCAAACAGCAACCGAGAAGGGCTCCAAGCGGTCTCCCGGAACTAGGGGCTTGTGGGTGGTGGCTCTGATCTCAAGAGGCTCCCTCTCATTCTCCCAATTAGTCCAGATTGGCACACTGAACTTGCTCCATGTGATGAGTGGAGGGGCTTTGTCGACGGGGATTGGCATGTAGAGTGCAAACAGGGGAACATAGTCAGCCACGTCCTCTGCTGGGAAGTGGCTCTGGTCCACCAGGACCTGTTTGGCGGGTCTTATTGCTACTTGTTACTGCTGCTGCTGCTGCTGCTGCGGCCACTGCTATATTGCACATCAAAGGTGTTACTAATAGCCTACAGCTATCGTTACAGCTGCTCTGTTGCTGCCACTGCTGCTGCTACTACTGCTGCTGCTGCTGCTATTACTGCTACTGCTACTGCGACTACTACTACTACTACTACTACTACTACTACTACTACTACTACTACTCCTGCTGCTGCTGCTGCTACTGCTGCTGCTGCTGCTACTGCTGCTGCTGCTGCTGCTGCACTGCTACTTCTTATTCTTCTGCTACCGACCACGACCGCGACCACGAGCAGCTACTGCTGAAGGTCTTGGGGTTTTAGGGCTTAGGGTTTTAGGGTTTCGAGGGTTGAGGACTTTAGGGGTTTAGTGTCTTTGGAATTTAGGGCTTCGGGGTTTAGGGCTTTGGGGTCTTTGGGATTGTGTCCTGGTCCAAAGCTTATCGAGAATAAAGCTATTACGATCCTTTACAAATACCCCACTCCAAACCGTGCTCCTTGTTACTGAGCCAGGACACCCTGCACCCTAAACCCCAAATCGTAACCCGTCCCCCGAGCCCACCTAAATCCTAGGGTCTTAAGCCCTCGAAGTCCTAAAACCCTAAAGTAGCCTAATCCCTGAAACCGTAAACCCTTCAACCCAAGAATCGCAAGACACTAAGCCCAAAACTCCCGAAACCCCATGTTACAATGCTCTGCCTCTGTTCCTCCATTGGCTGCAAGGAAGTGATTCACCATAGTGATGATTGACCCGTCAGCCTTCGGCCCGAAGTACTGTTCCACCAAAGCACACGGATGCTGATCAGCTTCGACATTGTAGCCCCTTAGCTGAGCTCTCCAAACCCAGTATTTTGTTCAGAGCACAGTCTAAAGTCTGTAATGCAGGAAAGAATCTCCAGAGCTTTGACAACTCGGGAGACCCAATTCTCTCCATCCCCCTTGGCCTTCTTGCCGGCAGGGCCGGCAGCACGAGCAGCTCGTTTGCCCATCGATCAGAGGTGGGGTCTCTAAACTCGGCCCTGAAAGAAACCGCTTCTTCAAGCTGAGCAGAATCAGCTGTGCATCCGCTATGTGAGAGTGCGGGAGTCACAGAGAGAGAGAGAGAGAGAGAAGGGAAGGGAAGGAGCATGTTGGTCACTCCGTTTCTTTTGCTGCTCCAATCAACGAAAGCTGATGTCAGAGCTCAGTCACAGTGCATTTGCCGGCACATTTCGGGGCCCAGCTTCTGAAAAGGGAGCTCGCCGATCTTTGGAGATTCATCGGGGGGCAGGGCAGCATTATACTAGTATGATTTGCGAAAGGACAACGACCCCACTCAGCTTTGATTATTGCCCTCCCAGAACCACAGCTATTTCTTCAGGTATTCTTTTAATGGGTGCAGCTACAAAGTCCTCGCAGGAAAGAGTCGAGTTCTCAAAAAGCAGCTGGTAAACTTTAGGGACTTTAGGATTTAAGGTTTCGGGCTTCGGTTTCTGGCCACAACCCTCTTCTAAGCATGCTCGGGAACGGCTTCAATGAACAGGGCGCATATCAAAATAATCGCCCCAGCCTGTGCTACGTGCATCCCGTTCCCGGCCAGGCAGCTGGCCAACGATGCCGTGGGCAAGGGACTCAAGTCCACACTCGAAGATCCAGCTGTCTCTGCCTGGGATGATGGGTTGAGTTGAGGGCTCCATGTTCAGGGCAGGGTGGAACTCGATCAATTGGTTTCAGTCATGCTACGAAGTGTTTTGTTGTCGGGATTGCCATCGCAGTGAAAAGCTCTTCCTTGTCAATGGTGCGGTTGTGCCTCGTTGAGAACAAGTTTCCACAGTTGCGCTTCAGGGTCATGAGGGTGTTGTCGTGCAGCTCGGTCCGCAAGAACTTGCTGCTTTGCTGTGCAAGATCGAAGACCTGCCAAACATTAGATCATGAGTGGGACGGAAGTTCTTTCTTGCTACACTACACAACACAAGAGCCCAAAACCCACTGCACGAGCCCCCCTACCTTCTTGGAATCTCCAAAGGCTTCCATGTACGTGCGCTTCGTCCTTGTCTGGGCTGGATTGAGGACCGTCGCAGGCTTGTCCAGGTAGAAGTAGTCCACTGCCTGAGAGGGTTTAGGGTTTAGGGTTTTCAAGTGCATCGGGTGCCGAGAACAGTTATAGCACAGGCAAGTGACTTCCATTTTCGGGGCTGCAAAGAAAACCTTGACCAAGTTCTCCAGGGGTTCGTGCGTGGTCCATCTTGCCTTGCCTTTTCTTGTCATGACAACCCACAGCCGGGCCCTTGCCGCAGAGAAACCCAGGTGGCGAGAGCAGAATCTCGCCGATCGTATTTCATATTCCTGACCTTAGGACACATTACGAAGTTCTTTGATGATCGGAAGATGGTACTCTCCCACGTACAACGAAAACTAGTCGGCCCGGCCAAACTTTTCTTGGAGAATAGCAAGTTGATATTGCGGGGTGTTCTCGAACACGATGATGTCCTGCATACTGCAGCTGCAAATGGTTAATCATGTCTGCGGAATCTACAGAGTACATGTTTTTACACATGACAAACATGCATACATGCATACATACATACACTCCTCCTTCCTTTCTTTCCTGCCCGTGTTTGTGTATGTGTGTGTGTGTGTGCGTGTGTGCGTGTGGATGTCTGTTGCACACATACATATGTTCATATATACATACATGCAAATGTGTGTGTATATATATATATATATACCCCTCTCCCTCTCTCTCTCTGTTCCTCTCTCTCCGTCTCGCACTGTATCTCTGTGACATCTGGCCTCCTTCTGCTTCCTTCTCATGTCGTACCACACCAGATGGCTCTTAAAGGCGTGGTCGTCGGTCTGCAACAAGTCGTGTCTAGACTGTCTAGATATTAATGATTGAAGAGCCGGGAGCGAAATCCGGTCAGGCCTTTTGTCGCTTGCCACTTTGAGAAAAAGGTGTGCAGGAAGCCCCTGCGCACTCGACTTTGAGTTTGCATCCGTGTCGGTCACCGGATGGTAAAGGGCACATGCGATGATGCGTAGTGCAATAGGCAGTAGAGGCCAGAGAAGTGCCGGGACCCCGCCATTGCAAAACATCTCCGAACCTCAAGGGGGTGTTGCCAGGACACAGGATAAAGGAGTGGTAGGCACTAGCAGGAACAGCTTGGAGTCGAGCACACATCGATAGGGCCACGTGTTGTGCAGCAGGCATTGTGAGTGCTTGCAAAAGTCAGTGGCAGGACCAAGCTGGATCAGAGGATTCCCGCCGCTGCCGTGCTTCTTCACGACGTCGGCGGCTGCACTCCGAACCTGGGCTAAGAAACGAGAGTTATGAAGTTTTGTTGCTCGGGTTTATCGGGTTTGACAACTCCTACTGATGTCGGATAAGTAGCCGATTGGGCTGCAAGCTCAAAGCACCCAACACCACTGAATGTCGTAGTCAAATACCAGGATAAGGTTGATAGCCGGGCACAGACAAACGAAGGAGTCCACTTCTTCATCGCTGCGTACACAAACCTGCATCACCACAAATCTCCCCGAAGCGGTTTAGGGTTCAGGGGATTATGGGTTCAGGGGCTTTGGGGTTGGGGTTTACGGGTTTAGGGGTTAAGGCTAAGTTTAGGGTTTTGTGTTAAGGGGTCTAGGGTTCGGAGCCTACGGTTACATTCTCAATAGTTAGGAGGGACGGAGCCTGAGAGGCCAGGTGAACGTTGCATCGATGCTCTCGGGCCCACCAGGGGCAGTGGAGGGAGGAAGTTGGGTCCCATAGATAGCTCGAGTTCCTGGGGCCTTCTTGTACTTCGGCGGCTCCGTAAACTTTCTGTTGCCCTGCACACAGACTCTCCAAGATGTTCATAAACTCAGAAGGGCAAACTGGTAAGTGGCATGTTTGCTGGCCTGGCGACACACCTGAGCCTGCTCCACTGCATCTTTCAAAGTAAAAGACTGGCGTGTTCGGCTTGAACGGAACCTGAGCAGGCGCTTTTTGTTTCTGGTAGCCTGGTAGACTGTACAAAGAACAGAGACGGATGCCGTATGTATTAGGGAAGAGGCTTAGGCATAGTAGGTGCACCAATGCCCAAACGTTCCTCTTCGGAGTCCACATCTGAAGCCTGGCCCGAAATCCTTTCTTCCTCCGAGTCCATGGCTTCAACGATTGTCGTCATTTCAAAAAACAGAGATCTGAGCAATCATACGATGCGGTTTCAGCAAGACTCGAATACAAGAGATTGAGGACAACCATCAGTGCATGCCAGAGCAGATGGTCTCACAGCATCGGTTTGCAAGGCCCTTTGAGAACAGCGTCTTGTGAATAGTGTGTGTGAAACACTGAGCTCACTCGTACCCTTCACGAAGAGGTCTTCCGACTTCAGAATGCATTTAATAGCTCAGTGAAGCGGTGGGGACAGGTTTATTTAGCTACCTCTTCAGAGTGGTTTTAAACCTTACCACAGGGTACAAGATCAGAAATGAGTTGGCAGGTGCATCTTGCAGCTGCACAAGGCGGTTATCATGGTTTTCCGAGTGCCAGTTGAGTGGGCTTTGCCCGCCCTGGGCAGTGGAGGTGCCTCTCGCTGCAGCAAGCAAATATCGAACACTTCGTGCAATGAGTGTGGGGTCCCTACCGCCAGCCGAAAGCAGTGCTTTGCACAAATCAGCCCAGTTCTTGCGACGGTCCAAAGACAGAGGATTCAGAGGCCTAGTCGTACTAGGCAAGGCCCCGGGTAGTCGTCCCAGAAAGGTGTGGGGGAGGATGAGTATGGGTCTTTGGCACGGCGTCTCATCACTTGCGAACCTTTTGCACATACAGATGACATCGTAATCTGAATTGACGAGGTTCCTCGTAGCACTGCCGTTCGCGACGATGCGGTCCCGGTGACTCTCTGGCACATCTTGGCTGCGGCTAGTGCGGGGTGTAAGTGTAAGGTGTTTGTTGTAATTTAAGTTTGAAAACTTGTGAATGCCGACAAGAAACCATGCCTCCGAAGCATCGTAAAGCTGTGAATACCATCTGAAGTATCGAGGAGCCCTCCGTGTGGATGGATCCGGAGGTGGCTGAACCTGAACCCGCTACGATCTGGAAGTTATATCATCTACTACATCCACAGAATCTCAGCTTTCATTGATTGGGCCATGGGGCCACACTCCCCAATCCCGGACATTGTCCAAAATGCAAACCTTCAGCCTGGCACCGCTCCCCACCCAGTCCCTGATGTTCAGCCGATGAAGCAGGGCATCGATTTTCCTGAGAGCACAGGGCTTCGGTTTCGTTAGCTTTGGGCACTGGGGACGGTTGGTTTGCGTCTAGGATAGAATTGCCATTATTGAAAGACGTGAATCGGCGAGGCCTACCCAGGGATCGTTATTTTGGAGAGGCTTTGTGTTTTTGGAGATTTAAGATAAAGGTTTACGGTTTAGAGCTTAGGATTTAGGATTTGGGCGTCCTAGGGTTTAGGGTTTAGCATTCGGAATTAAAACGGGATTTAATTTGCTCAAGATAGATCAAGTTTCTGCTGGACATCCTGAAGATCGGTCAGCGTGTCTTCAAACCTAAAGGCCCTGCTTAGCATTCCGAACACAGCGTCGAGACGGTTATGCGTGTGGCCAACACGGCTGCTCTGCAGCGAAGCGAGCTTCAGGGCTTTGGTAGCAGTGAGCCATGAAAGGTAGGTGAGCATGACCTGATTCTTGTTTTCCCGCACGGTGTTATCTGCCTGAGTGGAAGTTTAGAACAGCAATGTTAGAGTGTCGAAGCCACTAGAACAAACCGAGTAAACCCTGAACCCTAAACCCCGGCACCGAAGGACCCAGACCACCAACTCGGCTGGCCGAGGTAGTGACTCTGCATCGCACATCTCCATCACATCCTCTATGGACCGGGCTATTACCTTGGGGGAGGCCAACTTATGGGAGAGGATCACACAAGAAGAGATCTAAGAACAATTTTTGGAAAGATATGTGTACTACTAAATACATGCAGACACCTCCACTGTTAGAGACGAGTCGTGAGGAAAGTTCGCATCTACGATGTAGAGGGAGAGCAGGTACCCGGAAATCCAGCAACCGATCAGCTTCACCCGCGGGCGGATAAATTTCGATAGCTCTTTCGACCCACGGTTGCCCGGATACCGTGGGATGGACCATTTCGATTGGTCCATCCCATCTATTTGAAGAAACATCAGAGGACGATCGTTGTTCAGCGGGTTCAAGCCTTGAAAGTGCTGCTCAAGTTCCCGGTCCAGGCTCACGGCACGTAGGTGCTCTTTGTAGTCCCGCACAAGCCCGAACTTCTTGCAAACGTCCTGGCGGTTGCAGTGTTCAAAAAAACTTGTGGATATAGTTTTTGTGGAATGAAACCTGCCTTCTCCTCCTTGATCGCTTGCTTCAACGAAAAGCACTCCGTGCACTCTGCAAAGTCTGATTGGGAACGAAAAGGCAAGCACTGTGACCATCGTTTCTGGTAGGTGTCTTTGAAAACCGTGTACCTTACTGTCGGGTCGTTAACAGCTAAGTTGATGGACACACACATACACACACACACACATATCATGCCGAAAGAATGACCACTACATTGATAGGCTTTATGACAGACTTCTCAGAAGGCTTAAACTCGGCCCGGAAACGAAGCTAGCTTCTCTTCGGGAGCCTCTGCCACATACTGTCTGTAGAGATCCATCACTGTTCCAGGCGGCAAGTATCGCCTCGGGAGCTCCTTGATGTTGAAGGCCTGCGACGTCAGCACGTACCTTGCAGGCTTTCGATTCGGGGCTTTAGGCACTGAGCAGCTCAGTCACCCTAGTTCACAAACAAGCAACCTGTTCCAAAGCTGCTTGTCCAGATTAATCTCTAAACGTAGATCCTCGTCTGCATCTATGGTTTCTCCAGGAAGGGCTAGATCATCTGGGCCGAGGTCATCATCAAGGGCTTTGCTGATCTTGCACTCGCCACGGGATTTGTTCGCCAGCAGAAACCTGAGTGCTCGCTGATTGAACACTTAGAATTTTTAGACTAAGACTATCATAATGTTCCCAAGTCCAAAGAATGAGGTCGTGACCCTGTTGGAAGAACTTCGGCAATCATAGAGTGCTGGTGCAGCAAAAACTTGTCGACTGATCTCTGCATGGGGGCCGCTCGGTGCAACGGAGCATTGCATTTGAATCTGGAGTCAACCATTCCAGTGCCAAGCTTACACAAACGGTTCTTTCCGATCCCTAGGAGCGAACACAAGCAAGAACGACCCACTGTCACTCCCAACAACTGATACGTCCTGCGCGAGGTTTTCGCCGGCTCGGGCACCACGGTGTCTTGAATCTGGGATGTGAGGCAGGCTAGGGTTCTTATTATTGCGGGCTGCATGTATTGCCCCAAGAGTATGAACGGATCTCAGTACGGGGCAAGGAGCAAAGGCGTCTTGTTCCACTTTCCCCATTGAATCCAAGTTTTGCCGAAATTCAAGCAGTAAGTCGTGTTGAGATCGGACATTTCGGAAGCATGAC